GTAAGGATGCCTGCCATGGAGAGCCTTTTGAGCCCATAATTGCTTAATGTTGTCTATGCTTTTTATATGTTGTGTCATGTCTGTATGTTGTGAGTGTAAGTTTAATGGTGTGTTATTTGAGTCTGCTAGAGTTACTGCTTTATGTAATTGTGATGTTTCTTGTTTTCTGGACTAATTAGAGAATTTTTACATCCAGTCAAACGAACTATTTTCAATTTGATCAATTTTCTGGAATGTTTAAAATCGTTCTATAATTGAACCAATTCGAATTTAAATTCAAATTCGAAAATTTTTAAAATCGAAATAGAAAATCTACCACTTTCAACCCCATATCTCCCGCACCCTTATAGCTATCGAGACGCAACCACCATAGTGCACGAATGGAGACTTGGGGATACTACCACATACAAACACCATTCACGTGCGATGTGTAGTTTTGGCAAAAAAGTGAAATGTAGGGACACACACGCCCATTTATATATATATATAGATGTCTCCAAAGTTCAGCGAATTTTTCGCAGAAAAATAACTTATCAGAAAATGCACCCGCTGTTCAATGCGCCACTCTGCGACGAAAATAAGCTTAAACAATGGCATCATCGAACGATGCATAGTTGGTAAGTAATCCTACAATTTTTTGTTTATAGCATAGTTTGTGGATTATTCCCAAAAAATTATACGTGTTTTGGAAATGTTGAGTCAAATTAGTCTAGAATGAAAGGTTTTCTTCCATAAAATTAATCGAAACAGCCGTAGTCAATAAACTGCATACGTGCTGGGCTGTGATTGGCTGATGTATTTAAGTGACTTGTACAACATGGAATTCATATAACACGGAACGTATCTACCATGTTATGGGTGGGTCTACTCTATATATATTTGATTTTAAAACTGACTATAGGTATTAAAGTTATAATACAAGGATGACTAATCTATGGCTCTTCTAGACCTTACTGTGGCTCCCACACTATAATATAATGTAGTATATGGGTTAGAAGTACAAAATAATCTAATAATCTTAATCTTTGCTGCTGTTATTTTTTGACCAAGCAACGCTGGGCTCATCTGCTTGTGTGTGTATGTTGGTTTGCTTGCTACGTTAAAAATTAAATTTTAACATGGGTTTTAACAATACATTAATGACTATTTAAAATAAATAATGAATCAATCTTTATCTCTAGGTGATTATACAGAAAATCTTTTAGATCAGCATGATGCTGAAATAGAAAAAATGAAACAAATTTATGAAAAATATCAAGAACTTTTCACAAAAGTTAGTAAAAGGCAACAGTTGTGGAATAGAATGTTGGAATTTGAAGTAAGTAGTTTTTACTCTCATTAAAATTGAGGCTTTTATTGACTAAAATTTTTTTATTAATCTTTAGTTATTTTTGATATATAAGTAATGAATTATCAATGTGAGTAAATTATAAATTTCTTGGTCCAGTCTTGTAATGAACACAATTTATTTGCAATGTTTAATGTAATTTTACTTAACTGAACATTTCTTCATAATGATAACCATCTGAAAAATGGTAATTTTTGATAAATTTGTAAATTGCTTTGCAATTGATTTTTAAAAAAAGATAATAATGTAAATAGTGTTTACAATAAATTTTAATTTATAGATTTTAAAAAATGTTCTTTTCTTACTAATTTATACAGAAAAAAGCAAGTGATCCAAACAGATTCAATAATCGTGGTGGTGCATTATTACAAGAAGAAAAAGAAAGGAAAAAATTATTAAAACAACTACCTATGGTAATTATAGCTTTTTAATAATTTTTAATTTATAAAATACTTTTCAATAAAAAGTTGATTTTAAAAATTATTATGAAAGCTTGAGAAAGAATTGATGACTCATATTGCTGAGTGGGAGAAAAAAGAAGGTCAAGAATTTCGTGTTTTTGGACGAAATTTTAGTAATTTCATAACAGAGCAATGGGAGCAACATCAACTGGAAAAAGAAAAAGAAAAATTGGAGAGAGTAAGTATTGTTAATTAATTATTGTATTAAATTTATTAGTGTTTCTTGAATTTTGTAAATCTTTTAGCATCGTCAAAAAGCTAAATTGCTGGAAGAAGAAATTGCCTGTGGTAGCCGACCGNTAAAATATTTAATCTTTTATTTATTTTTACAGGGTGGGTTAAAGTGTACCTAGGTAACCCCAATGGCAGCACTTAGGACTGTTTGTGCTCCCGGCGAACTCCTCCTGGAAGGGAGCAGCCGGCAGGCCGCCCATTGTTTAACGTTACTAGTTACCCTGCGTTTCTATATGCAGCGAGAGTGTAGCGAAAAGATGGCACGAACAGTGTTGGCCAATTAGAAACCAGTTTCAGTGTGTTCGCTGTAAAGGTCTTCTTGAGTGCTGCATAAAGAAACGCAGGGTTATTGATTCACGGTACTTTTTGAACAAAAGAAAAAAGGAAACGTCTACTAAAATTTATGTAGTTAATGTAATCAAACCAACCTAACCGAAACACCGCCATTGGGGTTACCTAGGTACACTTTAATTACCGGGTGTACTGTGGTGGCATTTCGAATTACTACAAAATAATTTTTTTTACGCTGGCACCTATTTGTAGTACATAAATCAGTTTGGCCTAGGTCAAACTAGTTAAGCTTAAAAGTATTTAGGCCAAACTACATTATCCTAGGTTAAACTAGTATATCCTGACATGCATAGGATAAATTAGTTTGGCCAGTAACAAATACATCCCCATTTGACTAATATTTTTTAGTGAACCATATTCAGTCAATCCTTGAAGTCATGCTGATTCCTGAGGATCAAAATTGACCATGTTGGGGATTGATTTAGGCCACGACTCCACTAGTGTAAAAACGGGCATAAAAGTCCTCGCCGTAAAAACTTTTTAATCATGTGACCATGATATTTTATGCCTGAGCAAACCGTAAAAGCGAGTTGAGCAGTGTTTAACTTTCGACATGAATACAGCCGTAAAATGGTACCATCCACCAATCAGAAGTCAGTGAAATCTAGGTCATTGTGACATGGTGCAAAAATGGCGGAAAACGAGCTTTTGTGTATGTTCTCTCGTGGCTACTCTAGAATAGATCTGGAAAGATTTATCGAAAACATCAGAAAGTATTCATGTATCAACGACAAGAGGTATCTTGATTATAATAATGGGTGACTAAAACACACGATATGGATGGCCAAAGGAAAATCCTTCAATTTAATAGAGTATATAATAAAAAAGCTAAGCTTATATTATCTTAATAATATGATAACATCTTTACTTTCATATATTAACTTTTATTATTTTTACTACATTTGTAATTATAGTACAGAAAAACTCAGAATATAATCATTGTCTTTATAACTTCGATAGTACCGTTGCCATAAAATCTTTGCTGACTGGACCTCCACTGCAATCCAGACGCAAACACAAATAGGTCACGTGATTAAAAGTTTTTATGGCGAAGGTTTTTACGCCTGTTTTTACGCTAGTGGAGTCTCGGCCTAAAACAAACTTTTTGCGTGGTGACCCAAATTGCACATAAGTCGTTAAGTAGGCGGGCCACAAACATTTTGGATATGTAAATTATCATTTACACATGTTATTCATTCTATTGTTTCTTTCAAGTGATTTGTCAAATATGTTCGCGGGCCGCGTTTGGGCCGGGAACATATTNTACAGTACCTAATTTATATATAATTATATGAACAGACGATACTAAACTCAATTTATCCGCCTAAACGTCCGTAGTGTGGCGCTACGGACGGCGGGAAAGTAGTTCGGCTGCCCGATGACGTTTTACGTATTATAGGAGTTATTTTTACCGTTGTTTACGGATACTGCCACAATTTTTATAGGAATCGTAACTATAGGAAACGGTTTTATAGGGGGATCTACTGTATTATATTCTGGAAAAATATGTGACATAAATTACATATAACACATTAGAAATATTTTGTGGCAGAGTTATAAATTCATAAATATTTTTGATTCATGTAAGATAATTTGCTTATATAATTTTGGTGTAATTGTATACGTTAAAACTTTTTCAGCAAAATTGCTAAATCCTAAAAAAATCAGTTAAATGGAAAAATTTGTTAATGAAAATTATTCAGATAAATAAGACAAAATCTTCAATATGATAGATTTTCCTATTTTTATTTGAACACAGTTGAAATGTTGTCATCTTCATCCCAAGTATTACTATCTGACAAAGAATCATATTTCCTGGAGTAATTTTTAATAGCGGCTAAAGAAACATGTTTCCAAACCCTGCAGTATCAGATACACAATTTTGGAAAAAATTAGACATTTCAGGGGATGATTCTCTTCTAAAGCCAATGATAAAATGTTCATTAAAATGCATTTCCAGTAATTAACTTTAATGTTCTTTATTATTCAATAGTCCATTGGTTGCAGTTTTAATATCTTGTGAGTGAATAAAACAACTTGCATGTTTTGCAGTTTAGTTTACTGACTTTGGGCAAGAAGGATAATTATGAACAAAAAGGGTAAATTTTTTGGGGACACAATATATCTAATTTCAGTTTTTCAAACATTTGGCTTGTCACCCAAGATCTTCGTGTTCCAGTTTCAATTTTAAAAAAAGTCTAGATGATTCTGCTTATGCAGTATTAATTCTTCAGAGGTTGATTTCATATTTGTCCTTACTCAAGTCAAACATTAGCAGATAAGATTAGCATTTCAAAAGGATAAAACATTTAAAGAAAAACCTATTTCGTTGGCTAAAGTTATGTTTTGAGATTCATGTTTTTGCATGATTTTCTTCAAAACCATTTCACAAAAGTTTTTTAATCTTCACTAACTTTAGTGGTTTGCCAGAAACAGTCTTTCTTGAAATTCTGTATGCATTCCACAAGCACTGTTTAACATAGTTTGTTAAATGATCATTATATAATGCCAGCTGCTGAACAGGTTTGTTTTGATGAGAGTTTGCAGAATAAATGTCAATTATCTACTAGGGAAGATGCTATAAAAATTCATTCACTTACTCAACGTCAGTTATTCTCTCCAATTTTTGAAGACATGATAAAATATCCATGGTTTGCATCAAAACTAATTTAATTACACAAAAAAAAAATTTAACAATGTAAACCAGTTATGTTTTCTGTCCATTCAAGAAATGAGATAATTCAAATGTGAATGCTCAGCACTTCCATTTATAAAGTGTGCAGTTTGTAAGAAATGCTTGTTTACATATGTATATATCATTCAACAAATTGTAAGTCATTATAATAAAATTTAAAAATTAACAATAATATGTATGATAANATAAAATACTTTTCAATAAAAAGTTGATTTTAAAAATTATTATGAAAGCTTGAGAAAGAATTGATGACTCATATTGCTGAGTGGGAGAAAAAAGAAGGTCAAGAATTTCGTGTTTTTGGACGAAATTTTAGTAATTTCATAACAGAGCAATGGGAGCAACATCAACTGGAAAAAGAAAAAGAAAAATTGGAGAGAGTAAGTATTGTTAATTAATTATTGTATTAAATTTATTAGTGTTTCTTGAATTTTGTAAATCTTTTAGCATCGTCAAAAAGCTAAATTGCTGGAAGAAGAAATTGCCTGTGGTAGCCGACCGACTCCAGTTAAGAGGCGGATGGGAACTACTCCAAACAAAACACCAAATAAATGTCGTCGTTTAGGAGGTCAGAACGGTACTCCAAGTTATCTGAATAGTATTCAGGCTATTCCTATATCATCTATGGTTGCTTATTCACCAGTATCTGCAACTCCTAAGAGACGTTCACCGGTATTTACAAATATGATTTGTTTGGTTTTCTTTTTATTGTTATTTTTTTAATGTTTAAAAATTTTACATTTTATCTAGCGACTTCTCTGTAGTCATAAGAAGACACCAATCAAATCAACTCCAGGAAAAACTGGGACAATAAAACGAGAAGTACTTGTTGAAAGAAATGAAAATATAAATTTAGGAAATAGAAAAGGTACACCAAGTATAAGTCCAGCTCCATCATTAGTTAGTGTAGCATCATATTCAGACTTCACTGTAAGTATTTATTCAAAATAATTTCAAATAATAATTCAGATTTTTATAGTTTAATTTTTTCTTTCATAATTTGATTAAAAAAAAATACTTTAGTAAATAAATATTTATTTTTTAAGAAATTTTACAATCCATTTGCATGAGGTGTCATCTTTTGAATTATTGATTTTTAATTCAAAAAGATTTGTTATATTGCACATTTATTGGAGATAAATAATATCAATAATTTTAAACTATCCATTACTAATTTGTAACTGCTTAATTGCATTAATTAATTAGGATAACCAAATGGTAAATAAATGAAGTTCTGAATGCAAAGAACAACAACTTGTTTATCAAAATTCTTCAGATTTTCAAAATTTATTGAATATTTATCTTGAAGAACACAGATGCATTTTGTTACCATAAAAGGAAAAATCTCTTGAGTTATAAATTACTTTGAAGAGGTTGTTTGTTTTATTTTAATGTTAAGTATCATACTGTATTGTAGATATTAAAGTTGTTTTATATTAAATATATTTTCATCAAAAATAATTCACAATAATTTTATTTGCTATACTAGTGAAGTCCTTTGATATATACAGTTACAGTAGATCTCCCTATAAGACGGTAGATACGTTCCGTTCTTTATGAATCAATTTTGTAGGAATCATAAGTTTAATAATAATATGATAACATCTTTACTTTCATATATTAACTTTTATTATTTTTACTACATTTGTAATTATAGTACAGAAAAACTCATAGAATATAATCATTGTCTTTATAACTTCGATAGTACCGTTGCCATAAAATCTTTGCTGACTGGACCTCCACTGCAATCCAGACGCAAACACAAATAGGTCACGTGATTAAAAGTTCTTATGGCAAAGGTTTATACGCCCATTTTTACACTAGTGGAATCTTGGCCTTAGTCAATGACTAGAAGTTTTCAGATCAATTTTTAGACCTATCATACACTTTCTTTTCATTGTTACTGAGAAATTTAAGAATGGATATCATTTGTAATTTAGATGTTATTTGGGATAGAATGGGGTATAAGATGTTGGATTCTTTCCTCTTATAGTTGTCAAGAAAAATATATTCAAACTTTTATAATTATATTATGATGCATATTTTGAATTGAATTCAAAATTAAATACATGAATAGAATATCAATCAAGAACTGTGAAATATCAATTATTAATTTCTTGGCAATTTAAAATGGAATTAAAATCATTCAAAGCCAAAGTAAAAAGTTTGTGAGAAAACCTTTAAAATAATTGATTTTTAAAAGTAATGCTAATTTTACTGTTTTTAACATTGATATTTATCAACCCTGTTTGACATGTACTGTGTTTTGTGTCAGTTGAAATACCATGTTTAAAAATTGAGTGTCATAGCAGTGACTTTGCACCAACTGACAAAATTACTGAATGACTACGTATATATATCAGAGTTGCTGATTTTATAAGGTTGCTCTAAAACACCTACAGTAATACTGAATATCTCATTTGACAGGTAATTGTTTACTTAGTGTGCAAATTTTAATTTCAAATTGCTTGTTGTCTATTTTTTTTTATTAACTATAGTAAATCCTAGATTTTTCAAATCAGATATCATTATTAAAATTGAGACAGAGAATAATCACCAGCAAAATTCCATTTTATTTTTATTCTCCAATTCTCTTTTTGGAGAATAAAGAAAAGTGATGTCATCTGAGAATATCTCAGATGACATCAAAATTCTTGTTTAAGTCAAAAGGATTTTTTTTAATGTTTGGGGATTCCTTAACAAGTACCACATCATGTGCTTTGCACAAAATAATTTCCGTAATTTAAAAAAAATTTTACATGGTGCATAAAACCATTCCTCATTATCTTTCTTCAGACAACATTGAAAACTTTGTGAAAAAAGCACAATTTTACTCACTTTCACATTTATTGAATGTGTGTTACTAAACTAATGAATGTGTAATAAGTTTAATTTAAGCTGTAAATAAAATAAAGCTTTAAAGTTACATATAATCTAAAACATGTAATTTGATTATTCCTCTATACAATACACTGTATCGAAAAAATAAGTGCACTTCAAGAGAGAGTGTTACTCAGCTAAAGCTTCCTTCTTTGAAATTATATAGCAAAATGATTTGTTTTTGAAATTCAATAGCAGGCAATAAAAGTGAATCTGTAGCACAATATCTCAGCTGAAAGTTTACACATGTTGAAAAACAAATTGATCATTCTCTTCAAATTTTTGAATATTATATGTACTACTGTTTACAGTAAAAGTAGACATGAGCTGGAAGGATCTATCAGATGAAAGGGATAAAAGGAGACATGTGATTAATATATGAGTAACATTAGAATTAAGAGTAATAAAATTTGTAAAAAAATTATGATAGAGTTGGTATTAAAACATAGAAATGTAAAAAAACAAAATAGTTGAAATAGATCAGATTCATGTGTCAACTCCCAAGGTGGTAGCCACATGGGTCCTTCCATTTGTTTCTTCTGACATGCACCCTTCCAGATCAGGCTGACTCATGTCTTTTGCACCTTGGACTGTAATGAAACTCTAGTGTAAGACCCAAAAGAAAATAAAGGGGCATACTTCTGTGTTACATTTGAATGCACTGACCTAAGAATTAATAAATCTTTGTATTATATTAGGGTTAATCATAAAATAAGTAGATTTATTTTTTGTTGGCAACACTGCATATAAAGAAGCTGTGGTGCATGTTGAACCATAATCTTAGTGCGACACTTCATTACAGGTTTTGGTTTGAGCCACCGATGACCAAACCAACAATATGGACTCCTCCAAAGGTGCCCAATGAGCTGTAATACAGTTTTTGGCAGCAGAAGGCAAAAAGTCAGCTACCATTTTTCAGAGAAAGGCAGTTTGTGCCACCTTTTGCGTGCCGCCATTTTCAACTGGTGTAGGAAGTTTGCAGGCGGCCATCAATCAATGAAGGATGACCCTCGTTCCAGTCGATCGTCGACAGTGACAGAATTTCAGAATTGTTCAAATAGTTTATGACCTCATTCAACAGAATCGACACATACAGCCCTGGACTCAGCCTCTGTGACTGCAGCGTGTTTGGTCTATTAAAGAGAAGTTTTAAGGGGCACTGGTTTCAGTCGGATGATGAGGTGCAGTCGGAAGAATGCAGTGGAGAATTGGCTGTTTCAGCAGCTCACCAGCTTCTTTGAGCATGGCATTCACTGCCTAGTGAAAAGATGGGACAAATGTCTTAACAACTGTGGCACTTAAACAACTTTGATTAATTAATTAAAGTTGTTTTTGTCAATCTACAATTTTTGTCGTCTACTTATTTTATGATCAACCCTAATACAGTATATTAATTGTTTTCGGGTGTTTTTAATGTAAGTAGTAATGTAATAAAAGCAAAATTCCATTAATTGTAGTTTTTACTTACCCCACATGATTTTTTTAGTTAATTATCAATATAAGGATTCAAAAGCTGATTACAATGAGTAGATTCTACTATTTTCTGTTTTGTGCAAGAAGAATGAAATATTTTAAGCATTTCTTATGTAGCTCATAACTTAAATACATCAAATTTAAAATATATACTAGAGCAGTGGTTGACAACCTATATACACTGGAATGCCACACAATTTTTTTTCCAAGTATTAGACACTCGTGCCACTGAAATCAAATTAGTGAAACTATATTAAGAAAAATTTATTTGACTATAATAATACACTGTAGTAAACTCCTATAATGAAAACATCATTAAAAATATTACAAAATTTAAACATTAGTGACTTTCTTGAGGTTAAACTTTGGAAGCTAATACTTAAATATTTGGTTCATAGTTTTAAGTTTGTAACTTTATGCAAATTTCTGAACTTTCTTCAGTTAAATGATTTCTATATGGATTTATAATATACAGTATTTCATGATTGAGAATGTTTGCTCACAATTAGTTTGTTGTACTGAAAACAGTTAAAAGAGCAAATGTGACTTCATACGTGAAAATCTCTCTGGAAGTTTGTTTCACATTTTAGAGCCGCCGCAAACTACAGGATGTGGGAACTAGTGTATGCTCACTCGCGCTCCTAAGCCCCGCCTTTTTTCCCCATGATGCTATGAGCCATTTTTGCTAGGTAAGCTACGCGGGCACGAAGCAGCCGCAAACTACACTTTTGCTCGCGTAACGTAGTCCACATGACGTGGATTCCACAGATGTAGATTGGCTATAGAACAAGATTTTATTATAACTTATACTTGTAATCAGTCAGTTTTCGTTCCGAACTTCGAAACAGCATGGAAAAAAACATGTTTACTAGTTAAGCCTAACTAGGCTTAACTAGTTGAAAAATATTTATACTGTATATTACTATTTACATACAATGGTTATACTATTTTCTTTTCAATACTGAATGTATTAATCATGTAATTTACGTACATCGATAAAATTCTATTATTACTTTTCAATATGTGACATGTTTATGTAGTCATCCGTCTTCCCCACCCTCTCTTGCTAGCGTAAATGCTCTAGTTGTTGAATTCTGTGAACAGCGAGCGTACCCTCGTATCGCTGCGCTAGCGAAGGAAAAACAGCGTGGGCAAGAAGAAAGGGGCGGATCCTTCCACGTCATCGGTTGTGCTAGCGTATGTTTGCTAGCGTTTTGCTCTCGCAAAGCACTAGTTTGCGACGGCTCTTAGTTATTACATTAAGGTATTCATTGTATTCATTTTTTATAATTTTATTGCTAGCAGTTTCCAAATTGCAGAATTGTTAAATTTGATTAACTCTAAATCCAAATACTCAAAAATTGAAAGAATTTTTATCTATTTTGTAACTGTGTCTAATATCAGCTCAAAATATATTTAAACACAGGTGAAATCATATCAAATATATTTAAACACAGGTGAAATCATTAAATCTGTGTGTGAAATATTTTTGCAAAGATGATACATAATCCATAATTTTGTTAATAACAAAGTTATTATGTATAGTATCCACAAACTTTTTTACATTTAGAAAACAA